TGGTGAAAAACCTAACATAGTATTATTAAAAAGTATTTTTTTTTACATTTTTTAATCACTAATAAAAATTTACTTTTAAAATTTTATAGCTGCCATATAATAAGCAAAATTTGCAACATTATAAGCAATTGCAGAAGGCGAATCAGTTATAATGTAAATATTAGACAATAGAAGTAGAAAAATAACCATATATAAATATATTGTGTAAAAATAAAATATATAAAATATGTAAACTGTATGAAATGTCTATAATGTAAACTTAATTTAATGAGTGACACAATATTATTTAAAATTCAAGAATAAAACTTTAGATGAGTTTAAATTACTTTTAAGAAGACAATAGAAGTAGATAAATAACCATATATAAATATATTGTATAAAAATAAAATGTATAAAATATGTAAAATGTATGAAATGTCTATAATGTAAACTTAATTTAATGAGTGAAACAATTTTATTTAAAATTCAAGAATAAAACTTTAGATGAGTTTAAATTACTTTTGAGAAGGTACCTATTTACCATTTATGGGAGTTCTTGTATTTTTCCTGTTGTAATCTGATTTGCGCTTTAATCCTTGAGAAGTGCTAGGAGACTGTGTAATAATGCCTGTTAAAACAAATTCAGCTTCTTCATTTAAAACAGTTTCTTCTACAGACTCATTAAACACTGCAGCGCCTGAAAGTAAATTATATATTATATTATTTATTAACAAAAACAAAATTCATAAGCAAAATGGAGAAATAATAAAATTTTGGAAAATTTCAGGTAGTTGAAATGATCCTCAGGTAGAAACCCTTAGTTATTAAAGTAATAAAACAAAACTATTTACAGGTAATAAAGATATTTACAGGTAGTAATACACATTTAGAAATATTTAGATTAACCAATATTCAAAAAAATTTAAAACTTAAAATTTAGTGGTGGTATATTCCAAAACTTAATTGCCTTCACAAATCGTTAAAATTCAACAATAAATAAATAATACTTGAATGTATTTAAAATATTTAAATAATAAAAATATAACTTACCATAGGCTTCAGTTTCTTGAGGTAAAAACAAAGTGGGATAAGCAACTTTACTAATTCGATCATTTTGCATTAAATGTTCTCCAGAAAAATGCTTATGGCATACTTTTTTGTTTTTACGAACAAAGTGTGGCTCCAAATTCTGCAACTCCAAATTTTGGCATAAATCAACCCATTTTTTAAAAAGCTCTGGATCTTTGTTAAAATCAGGAAACTGGTGCCGTTTTGACTTCCTATCTTCACAGTTTTTAACTGAACAGGGACGAGACATTTTGAAGCTAAAAAATTAAACATATATTACAAACAAATCTACATTAGCTTTTGATCTTAATAATCATATTAAATAAATACAAAATATTATATAATATACCAAGAAAATTAGGAGAAATATTAAAATATATTTAATGTAATTAAACAGTACTAACATAGAAATTTGAATTAATTAATTGTAAGTGTTGGACATCATGTTCTTGAAATAAGCCCTTCACATAAAATTTTGGTTTTATCATTGACTTCACTCAACGGTTTTATCATAATACATAACCTACATAACAAATAAATACTTTAATACTTACATGACAAACCACACGATTCAAATAAATACACAACAAATATGTAATAATAAATTGTTTAAAACACAATACCAAAGATTACAAAACACAATATAACACAGATAAACACAAAACAATAATGAAAGTAAATTATGAAAGTAAACTTAAAAACATCTCTGCGGATTATAAAATAACGCTACGCCTGCGCAAAGTGTCCGAAATCAGTTTTACCAACATGAAGATTAAAAAAAATGAATAGTGCTCCCTCTGGGAATTTTGCGCCAACTAATTTCGAATGTTCTATCCTTGTCCATTAGAGTGCCGCGACCGTGGTTTTATTAGAATTCTAATGAAGAAAGAGACTGTCGCCCTTTTTAACGCACCCCCTATCCAGAAAATCCAATTCATGGGATAGGTCTAAAGCTATTTATCACTGCGGAATGAAATATTTCAGTCGACAGTGTTTTATTATAATTTGAAAATTATAATTTAATTTAAGTTTACATTGAAAATTAATTACGAAAAGTTCGCACAATTATGTTTTATCTGGTAAATTTAAGTTCCAATTGTAAATTAAAATTTACAATAAATTTTTATCTAATTATTAAATTAATTTTTTTTAATATTAATTAAAAAAAAAGTTTAAACAGTAGAATTCTGCATTTTTTGGTGCTTTTTTAGCATTTTTTTTAATTGATAAGGTTCAAAAATATTTTTTAATTTAGTTATTTAATTAAAATTAATTGGAAATTCTAATTTTCAGTTGAAACTTAAATTTATCAGATAAACACTTATATTTATATGAACACTACACAAAACTGCTTATTACAGCAACATTAATCACTTTAACACTATGGGCAAGTCGTTAACACTGTTAACACTGTTGGAACACCATGAACACTATGCAACACTCTTTATCACTGTGCAACATTACAACAACACTAGTGCAACACTATGGTACAAGTCGTTAACACTGTTGGCACATTATTAAAATCGTCAGTAGTGTTGTACAGTGTTTAATAGTGTTTAATACTGTTGAACAGTGTTTTTCCGTAAGGGGGTTTAGAGGTCAAATTGTTTATATAATATTTTTAAATAAATATATTAATATGTCGTAACATTTTTTAAGGGGACGACAAATACATTTCACTGTCATATTATGGCAGTGAGGCGTATTTGTCGTCTCCTGAAGAATTTCTCGAATGTAGAATACAACATATTAGAACGTGGGTATCTGACATATTTGGAAATATTATCAAAAGCTTCCTAGAAGCTCCATAAGGAACCTTCTAAGAACATTCCAAAAACGTATTCTTAAAATGTTCATAGGATGCTTTTTAGGAAGGTTTTTGAAGCTTTTAAGAATCTAATTGCATCATTAAAAGGGTATCTATTGAATGTTTTAAAAGTCCCTAAGAACATTCTTAGCAATAAGGGAAGGTTCTAAGAATATTCCATTATTCCGGGACGTATCTTCTTAGAAGATTCTTAAAATCAAATTTTGCTATCAGGGACTCGTTACCTTTATTTTTATTATTAAATAAATCGTTTTAAGTGTTTTTGGAAAATACTTTTGTCACAGTAAATGGCCAGATTCCAACTATTGACAGTGACAAAACTGTTGGACCCCAGCAAACACATCAGTCTGATTATGTAATTGCTTAATAATGGCATTTTTAGCCAAAGCTTTCCTTGTACTGGGCCTTTATTGCTGTTGTTATAAGGTCTTGCAATGGCCCTTTTCATATTTTTATATTTTACCATAAAAGTCAATTTTAGTACCAAATTAATGGGACTTTAAAAAACCATTTAAGTGCCAAATGTTTTGTATCATTAAACTTACATAAACCTTTACCCAGACTCAGGGCCGGATTTAGCACGGGGCCAGCGGGGCCACGGCCCTAGGGCCCCCACCATTTAGGGGCCCCCACCAATGCAATATGTAGCTTTTTAATGAAACAAATATGAAAAAAATTGGTTATACCGCGAGAATCCTCTTATTTTCAATTAATTTTTCGTAGACCTAACTCTAATTAATTTTTCGCGGATTTTTTATCGCTTATCCGCTTGCAAATCAGAATGTAAATTATCATACTCAAAGTTTTGTCGCGCTAAGACGTTTTATAAAGTCTATAGTCATAAGTTATGACTCATAACAATTTTAAGCAGTTGCTCGTTTAGTGCTTGTTGTAACGTTTTTGTAAATACAGGCAAAAAGTCAATTATTTATAATCTAATATTAAAGTTAGTTTTTGTCCCAGATTTTTATTGGTACATTGGAGTGTTGTGGAATATTTTCCGGTGTTTTCAAAATACTGTTTTGTGCATTTCTTTGTTCAAAAGATTGTTTTATTGTTTGATTTTGTATGAAAAACAGACAAATAATACGATCTTTGATGCATGCACTTTTTTCAGTTTACGGTATGTATTAAAAATACAAACAAAACATAGATCAATTTATATTTTACTTGATTAAAATGTATTCGTATTCGTATTATTCAAAATATATAAAATATAAAGTATATAAAAACACTTTCATTCACAATTCTATTCTACTTTCTACGTTTTTATAGTTTTGCATACGAATTTATAATTTATTCAGACTTGGGTAAAATGTATATAAGGTTATGTTCGTATTATTCCAAATATACAGGGTGATTTAGACTTGTGGTGACAAAAGCCCAGGCGAAATTTCTCTCATCAAAATATGAAAAAAGGTTCTTATAAACACGTGTCCGAAAATGCTTCATTATCGAGATACAGGGTGTTTCGTTTAAAAAAAATGAGTTTTTTATTTACAGCTTAAAAACGCTAAATGATTCAAGGATAATAAAAAATCACATAAAGTTCATCTAGCTTAAAAATTTACCGAGTTTTAATTTCCCAAGTGTCAAAATTTTTTAAAATATTGAGGGCCCCCACCAAATGTCGGCCCCAGGGCCCTAAAACTCCTAATCCGGCCCTGGGCCAGACTGCAATGAAGGTTCGAAAATATTCCATAGAATTTTCCTCTAAAACTTCCAAGCATGCTTGGTGCACCATCTAAGAACATTCCCAGTGAATATTCATTGGGAATATTTCGTAGAATGATCTTCTACAACTTCCAAGCAACATCTTGGAATATTCTCATTGAATGTTCTTTATATTCAAAAAACAATATTCTTTTCATGATGATAGGGTTGACCAAAAAGCGGAAATTAGATTACGTCAGGAATATTCCTGGGAATATTCTGGTACGCTTGGAATAATCCTGGGAATATTCCTGACATGTGCGGTCTGGGATAAGGTTTGTTTTTTACAAAAAAGGAGTAAAATGGTTGTCCTTGGCACTTTTGAGGCTTACAAGTGCCTCTGTTAAAAACACATCGTTTAAATTTCGCACTTTTTATGATTTTTGTCATTCAACTCGTAACATCTACTTACGTTCCTTTTCCTCCTGTCCACCATCCGCAAACCCTGATCGGACACCTCCAAGGTGCACGGCTGCTGCTCGGGCTCGCCCCCCGAACTTCCAATCACCCTCCTCACAGCCTGACAGACCACCGAGGTGCCCTTGTGGGCCGTGGTCTCCACCGAGCCCATGTAGCCCAGCAGGTAGCGCTCCCTGCGGCCGTGCTCCGTGCTGGAATCCCAGTCGCTGTAGTCGCAGTCCACCGCGTAGGCCGAGGGGAAGATGCCCATGCGCCCTGTGCGCAAGTTCACGCCTGCAAAAGAGTATTATACCTGTATCCTGGGAATCCCAGAACTCGCGCCACAGAAAAAGGGAACGTGCCGAAAATTATACGAAACTAGGGCTGGGACAGTTGAAATTTTCAAATGAAAATTTCAACTTTGAAAGTTTCAAACTTGAAATGTTTCATTTAGTTGAAAAAGTGAAATTTTTAAAAATTTCAAATGAAATTTTCAATCCGAAAATTTCAACATTGCCTGCGAAACTTTCAGAAATTTCATTGAAAGTTTCGCAATTTACTGAAAATTTCGCATAAATTTCACATGCGGCCTCCCCTGGGATCTTTAATAATAATTTACAACAGATTCCGAATCGACCAATAAGAACGAGTTATCAAGCGTCTGGGCGTTTTTGTTTAATTCGGCTTGGATTTGAATACACTATAAGTAATTGTTGTTACTTATATGCATAAATTAATTTAAATAATTTAATTCAGATACCAATTTACTTTGTAAATTAAATCAGACTTTAAAATTTTTTTAAAAGTCATGATTAATTTAAACTTTACTTTTGCTATAATTGCATCGGAAAACGGATAAAAAATGCCTTTGGTTCATAAAATTTTGATGAAGTTTCTTCAATTTTCGTAAAATTTCAGTAAAATATATAAAAAATAATAAATAGGTATATATAAATATAAAACAATGAAAATGGCACAATCTCATTAACTTACCAAAAAGTGCTATATCTCTCTTAGTTTTAGTAATTTTAAAAATATTTTAAAAGGAAATCTCAAGAAATTTGTGGTAATAATAGGTATTTACTATTTATATTATTGGTGGTCAGGAGCCCACAGAGGGGTAGGAGGTAAGAGAGGCAATTTGCAATGGTCCCCGAGAGGGCTTATTTCAATATTAATATATTACACTTAAAGTGTAATAAATTTCATAAATGTCATGAAAATTTAAAGTTAAATTTCAAGTACAAGCAAAAAGTGAAATTTTCTCAACCCTATACGAAACACATACTTGAAAATTAAAATTATCCAACGCATAGGATAAGCGAGATAAGAATAAAAAACGATAGCCAATCCCAATACATGGCCATAGGGAATTCTTTAAATTGCTAGAATACTTAGGATGCATTGTTAATATTATAGTACACTCACAGGCAAAATAATCGATCCACACAAATTTTTGATGAATTTCAATCGCAAATAACTTTTTTATTTGATGTCGGATTTAAACAAATATTAAAGAATATTGTAGATACATTAATGGAGAATCGCTCACATTTTAAAAATTACTAAAAAATACACGTACGTTTATAATATACAGGTTTAAACAAAAAGATATTTTTTACCATAAGTTTAAGACACTCTGGAGAGTGGCAAAACCGTATATTGTTCTAAATTAAGTTTTATTTATCAAGTCACATCTATTTTTAACAGTTTTGTTTTGGTTGACCTTGATATATTTATTTTTGTGGAAAATATGGATTTTTTTTTAAACATTGCAATTTCCAACATTTTTCCTGTATGAAGAACTAAGGTTGCTATGGTCCATCCATAGCCTACGGAGGATGACAGTGACAGTTTTGTTGAATCATCCCATACTTGGACATGTCATATACAGCTTTCAAAAGCTTTCAAATTGTTTTTTGTAAATTAATGTGTTAATTTTGAGGTGTCTTCTTACTTTTAAAAATGTCTCCGACTGATGTTGCCCTTTGTACTTTACTTCTTGTGACGTTTAAAAGACTTGCCACGTAATACTGTGACCGTCCATTCTGGATTAAATTAATGACTCTGGCAACATCAGTCGGGGACATATCCATTTTTTAAAGTAAGAAGACACCTTAAAATTTAAACATTAATTTGCAAAACACAATTTGATAGCTTTTGAAAGCCCTGTATGACATGTCCAAGTAAGCGATGATTCAACAAAACTGTCACTGTCATTCTCCATAGCATATGGATGGACCATAGCAACCTTAGTCCTTCATAAAGAAAAATATTGGAAATTGCAATATTGCAAAAACATATGTTTTTTAAAAAAATCCATATTTTCCACAAAAATAAATTTATCGAGGTGAACCAAAAACAAAACTGTTAAGAATAGATGTGACTTGATAAATAAAACTTAATTTAGAACAATATACGGTTTTACCACTCTACAGAGTGTCTTAAACTTATGGTAAAAACATCTTTTTGTTTAAATCTGTATATTATAAACGTACGTCTATTTTTTAGTATTTTTTTAAAATGTGAGCGATTGTCCATTAATTTATCTACAATATTCTTTAATATTCGTTTAAATCCAACATCAAATAAAAAAGTTATTTGCGATTGAAATTCATCGAAAATTTGTGTGGATCGATTATTTTGCACGTGAGTGTAGTTGTTTAACTTTTACTTTAAAATATTGGCGTACTGAAGTATAACATTCCTTTTTGAAAAGATTTTTAAAAGTTTTAAGACAACAATGTTTTATTGTCTCCCATCAATGTTTAAAGCTCCTACGTTTAACCTAGGCGACATTAAATAGATAAAATACTTGCCTTCGCACCAGAGGTCATCTGCTTCCTTCTGTACGTAAATAGGATCTCCTATTTCAAGCTCTATTTCGTCATCATGCCTTGGAATAAATTTGTGTAAACCTCTATGGGAAGCTTCAAGCATATCGACGTCATTATACACCATCCCCCCTCCTATCATCGAGGGGGACATCCCCATAAGGGGTGACATTGATTTTGGCCCATCAGTACCTAAAGATGTCATGAAAAATGCATTTTATAATATACAATGGGGTAGTTAAATTTTTTCTGACCTATACTTTTTATGGTTTTATTCAAGGCGTTTTGTAATATTAAACATTTCTGTGAAATCAGAATTTCAATTGAGTTTACCGTTTTCGAGATATTTACAAAAAATATAAATTTTTATGACGTCACAAACCTCGCCATGTCACCAACATTCTAAGATTTCTATTGGTTGAAAATTACCCTGTTGTCAAGTTGTCTTGTTCATGATTTCATTCGGTTATGTCAGAAAATACCCGAAGAGGTTATGTACAAATACTGTCACTGTCAGTTAAGTGAAAGATGGTCACCAAATTCATTAAGTACCTATCTTCCTTATTACGAGGTATCATATTACTGTTTGATATTTTAGAGTCCAAGATATATCTAAAACAATATAAAGAACTAGGCATTATACTAATGAAATGCATTTACGACAAAATATAATTATAATTATAGGTACTTTATTTGTTTAAAAGCTTCAATGTTCAATGTAACCAACCATTCCACAAGATTCCTCTGCTTTGGAGTCAGTTATTAATAAATCACTTATCTAATATCAATTACAAATAACATAACAATAACATTGATTTTCAATAATCTAAATTAAAAAAAACATAACCCGAAAAAAAGAAACGTCAAAAAATCAATTCTTCTTCTTCTTCTCAACTAAAATTATAGATCAAGTGGTTTTAAAACTAAAATATTATAACGTGGCGCCATCTATGGTAAGAATCTTAAACTAAACACCTGGTAACCATAGAAAAAGCTGGCAACGTTGTCAATAGCCTAGTGACGTAATTAGGAGAATTTTTTTTGTAAATATCTCGAAAACGGTAAACTCAATTGAAATTCCGATTTCACAGAAATGTTTAAAATTACAAAACGCCTTGAATAAAACCATAAAAAGTATAGGTCAGAAAAAATTTAACTACTCCATTAAATTGTACAGATTATTAATAAAAACTGTTTTTACCTGTTGGAGAATGAGCTGTGCTGTGTCCACTGTCAGCGTCCGTAAGAAGTCTGTCGGATTCCGGAGAATCGGTGTCCCACAAATACCCGCACTTTAATACTAAAATTGAGCTTGGTCCTGAACCAGTCGAAGAAAATGTACCCAATTCATCAGCCAATGACATTTCCCTTGATAATTGCTGTTGTGCACTATACATTGTAGCTACTGCAGCTGAAAGAGAGGTTTCTCATTAATCCCGGCGCATCCGCCATTTTTGAAACTAAATGATTTTAAATCTTAAAATTAAATAACCAAAAAATATCATTGGTATAAAAGACTTGATATACTTCGGTATTACTCTAAAACTGTTGATTGACTCATTGGAAACAAAAGCTTAACTAAATTTATTTTGTCGACATTTGATCTGATATTTTTAGCAGCGGGATCGATAGAAATCTTAGGGCCGTATGCAGAAACGTTGATTTATTTATATCAACTGATTTAGCATATCAGTGGATATAGGTTTTTGCACGACGTGGCAACACAGTATTTTTCTTTAAAAACTGTTGTTTTATAAAATAAATTGGGTAATTATCTTTCAACGTTTATATTTTCCATAAAAAGTCGATTTCTTTACATTGACATTTTAAATTAGACATAAAACAATTAAAATATCATCAAGATTTAGTTGACATTTGTGACATTTGCTTTTAACCTTAGAAAATAATTTCGCTAATAAAAGTCATGGTTTACTAGATTTGTTTTTTGGCCAATAAAATCATCTTAAATGAAAATCGGTTGATATAATTTATATTGATATACTGATCAGTCGTTAACGACTGATTTAAAATATGAATAAAAATTTTCAGTATTTTTGCTTCTTAATATAGGTAGGTACATGAAAAAATAAATTCAGAAGGTATACCTATAACAAAGATATAATTAAAAAATAACATTTTTTTAAAGATTAAATTACTACCATGTTAATTATATCAAACATTTTTTCTGTTTTTTTGTCTGATTGAAAAGCAGAATACTTGAAATCAATTGAATTATAACTTTCTTTAGTTTCATTGTAAAATAATTACCCCTAACATTGAACTTATGTAAGTGAAAATTTTTATTTTTTTAAATGAATAAACATAAATGATTACTTTTTAATATAATACCTATATTATAGATAATTAAACGAAATACCATTTACTTTATAAATAATAAAGATTATAAAATAAAACCAAAATTGTCTTTAAAAAATATTTGTCTTATTTGTTAAATAGGTACTTTTGAAGAATCTTAAATTTTAGACCATGTTTAACTTATTTTCTGCTTTTTATATTTTTAAATTATGTGCTTGCTCTTAGAAATAGAAACAGTAGGGTTTTTTCTGAGAGTAAATTTACACTTTACTTATTTTTCGGCCCAGAAATATACTATTAAACATAGAAGAAAACGGAATGGAGGGACAAAAGAGGAACATGGGTATTTCAAATTGAATATACATACATATTATAATATTATTAACATTTTTTGCCAATAATAATAAAAAGGCATTTTATAGGAAAATAAAAAATACACCCTGTAGGTAAAATGTAAAATGTTTTGGCTAGAAAGCAAAAACAGGCAGTGTATGAAACTATGTTTTAATATTTTTGGTTCAAATTGTTTTTATTATTTGTAATATTTATTTGACAAATAATTAAAAATATGCTCTGAAACAATATTTTTATTTTTGAAATAAAATACACAGGGTAAAAAAGTCTGGACTAGAACTGCAACAATTAAATTTTAAAATTCGCTTTATAAAAGTATCAGTTTTTAAAATTTGTGTACATATATTTTTTAATATAAATTATTTAAAAAACAAAGTGTATAAGGCATGCTGAGTTTTTTTCATTGGGTTTAATTTATCCTTTTAGAAAAGCAGGGATTCTTGCCCCATTTCCAGCAAGGATGTAGCCAGGATTTTGTTCAAAGGGCGGCAGGCAAGGGTAAACCATGTGCATGCATGCTACAAAAAGTTTCGAGGCTCCACATCCCACCATTTTCTAGCATAATTTTTCTGGACATGCAATTTTTGAGTATATAGCTTCCTCCTTTTGATTAAAAAAGTTTATTCTGAAGCCATAATTTATGTATATCAAGCATTAACTAACATATGTTATCCTCTTGAGTTTGTTTCTTAATTTTCTTATATTCTTGTCACAAATTTTAAATGTCTTTTTTCCCTCTCGATGTCTTCGGCATCATTGCATTTATTTTTCAAAACATTTGCCTAAATGCCTAAAAAGGTGTTATTGGTACCTGTAAAAGAATAGGTAAAAGAGCATTGCCTTTTAGAAACAGGTATAGTATTCCTATAACTATAATATAATTATCATAATTATAATATAATTATTATACTTATAATATAATTAATTAATCTCTTACAAAAACAAACACTTGAACAAAATTTTCACCAACATCAACAAAATTTCTTTGTTCTTTTCAGAGGCTTTAAGCCGTAATTTTCGTTTCTCATACCTTCTAATGCAAATTTAGGTACTTGTAACAATACACATTGCAAACATAACCCAATTGTTGTGTTTCATATTGCCCAATCCTATATAAAACCGATTTTTTGTCAATAATAAGGTTAAGTCAGTTATAAATGTATTTAAGTGTATATTTAATAATGCATTTTAAAAATGTATCACTCTTATAATGTAATAAACACATATTTAAGTATATGTAAGATAACCTACAAATCCATAGAAAAAGGATACAAATCTGCTGTCATTTAAAATTTGCAATGTTGCCAAATTGGTTCAAACTTAAATCAGTGGATATGCGTAAATCAATTGATATAAATAAATCAACGTTTCTGCATACGGCCCTTAGAAGCAACGGGAGGTGAAAGAGTTTCATTGCCTACGATAAAATATCTTTTCTGTAAAATCGATACGTTTACCTATCTTACTTATTACCTATTACGGTGTAGAGCGAAATTAAGTCTTGGCTTGACTAATTTTTTAATTAGAGCAACCTAACCCAATTAAATGCTAAATGGAAAAAGTATTGATTTTTTTATTTATGAAATTTTCCTAAACACTAAACAATTTTTCAAAAAATTTTAAATATTATTTTGTATTAAAAAACGTGTGACGGGTGTGTTGATTTTTCAGGTGGTTATGAACAATTTGTTGACGAATTAAGTGTTTTTTGAACAATATTACTGATAAAAATATCAGTCAGTGACTTATAAAATCATTAACAAGCTAAACATTATAAAAATTTAAAAGTTATACAAACAGTATTTTCTAATTTTTGAAAAAAAAACTCAACAATGCTTTAGGATGTCAACTAGATGAAGCAATGGCTTATTGGAAACCAGAAAATATAAAATTTATTTTATAAAATATTTTAACAACAAAAAGAATGTGTTACAATTTAATAAACCAACAATATTTTAATTAACAATTTATATTACTAATTTATCACTAAATGTTTGAAATGTCCTCCATTAACATTCAAGCATTTCTTCAAGTAATTTGTTATAAAATGTTAAATAATTGACAAGGAATCTTTTAAACAACTCTTACCCTCTTATATAATTTATTTTGGAAACAGACTGAGACACAGTTTGGTTACATAATCTGGAATGTGCCCTTGATGTTTTGTATCCAAACTTTATGATATATATTTGATATATTAAAATATTAAATATTAAAATTTATAAATATCCACCTTGGTTTAATAGAAACATAATAACTAAAATTAAAATAAAAATAAGAATCGTAAAAAATAGTTAAAAACAGGACAAAATCAATATAATAACACGTATTGTCAAGTGAAAAAAGAATTAAAAAACTTAATTTTAAACGCCAAATCAAAGTATTTAAGAAATATTGAAGATAACTTAGATATATAAATAATAAAAAATCGAATTCCATAATACCTGAAAACATGATTTACAATGGTATACATGTAGAAAAAGATAATATACCTGAAGCTTTTGCAAATTTGCTTGAAAATATTTATGTTAAGAGTTAAATTGCCATTCTAATAATGTTAATTTTTTAAAACCTAATATTAAAATTTATGAAAATGATGTAATTAAGGGAATTAATCAAATGAAATCTGAAAAAACTATGGGGTTAGATAACATCCCAGCGTATTTTTTAATCAAAGACTGCAAATATAATTTGGCTCCAGTCCTAACATTTATTTTTAATTTGTGGACACAAAAAGGTGATTATCCAGATATTTGGAAGATTTGTCCGACCTTTAAAAAAGGAAATAAATAAAATAAATAATTATAAACCAATAACTCTTTGGAAAAAGCTTTCGATAAAGTTAATCACGTTATACCTATTACCTCAGAAAATGTATAAATATGATGTTCCTATAGGAATGAATTATAATGAATTACTAGTTTTACTTCAATCTTATTTAACAAACCGTAGATACTAATTTTAAATCCAATTCTTATTTAGCTTCCTCTCGTATACCACACGGTTCTTTTTGTAATTTTGGCAAAAACAACCGCCTAAGATAAGCTACTTTCTAACACGAAATAGGAAAAGTACAGACGATTAACAAGGGATTAGAACATTTTTTATTTCAATTACATATACAAGGATGGTCACGGATAAAAAGGTTTTAGAAAACAATAGGAAGGAAAACAAAGTTTACAAAAGTAACCTAATCTATAATTTAAGACCAACCTCTCCACACGGTTCTAATTTGGGACCTTTACTTTTTGTTATTTTTGTTAATGTTGTTGAAAAAATAAATTTCTCAAATATATTGCTTAATGCAGATGATTATATAATCCAGTAAGCAGCATACAAGACTCACTACCAAATGACTTAAATAAACTACATGCATGGGCAAATAAAAATAAATTACAACCTTATGTTTTAAAATGCTTTTATATGTTTTTACCGCAAAAAACAGGTGTAACAAAATTAACTATAAATATAAAATTGGCAACAGATCCCTTATGAATGTAAACGTACCTATAGGTATACGAATTTTTTTTGATGAAAAATTGATGTTTATCACTTTGATTAGCATAGTTAAAAGTTCGTAAAGATTGATTTTTAGAAATACTAGAAGTAGAGAAACTCTTGTAAGAACTAAATTGGAATACGGATGTATCATTTGGGTCCCATATTATCAAAAAAGATATGTCTTAAATCTTGAGTATGGTATAAATAGCTTACTAACAAGAAGAAAATATTACTGCTCTGTTTTTATTTATAAAATACTTAATTACCTTTTAGATAGTCTTGATATTTTAAAATTTATTAATATAAAAGTGCCTTATACAAGTTTAAAAAATACTTAAATTTTAAGAAATACTTAAATTTTAAGCTACTCATGTCTCCGAAAAAAATAAGCAAATAAATTCGCCTCTAGTCAAATGTTGTAGTATTATAAACCAAATAAACTGTGATATTTTTATTAATAATTTATATAAATTTTAAACAAATTAAAAAGAATTTTTGTTTAGTATTTAATATTAGTGGTATTATGCGTATTTTGTGTGTATCTTTCTTCTTTGAAGAAATAAATGAATAATGGAATGTTTTAAGATTCCAAAAATTACATTCTCAAACATAATAACAAAAAAGTTATAGACTATTTAGATTAACGCGCATTTCTCAAATTTTAACGAAAAAATGAATAACTCGAAAACTATTCACTTTAGGTGTAGTAATTTTACTCATAATTTAAAAATGTAAAAATATATGTCGATAAAACAAAAAAAACTTTTCTATTTAAGTTTCTAGGTAATAAAATCGAAATTTAATTTTTAGGTTTTGTTGTTGGTTCTCTATAAATTTTGTTCTTTAGACTATCAATCCAAACTTATAAAGGCATTTAATATTAATTAAAAAATATAGTTTCAATTAGATTCTATAATTACTCTATAATACACTAAATGAATCACAAAATCAATACGACTACACTTTTAAACCCAATATATCGTAGTAAAGCTCAACGTATTAGGACTGCATTAATAGTGCACTCAAAAACATTCCGCAACTGCACAATATTGACCTGAACCGACTGGTCGTACAGACAACTGCAAAGTAGCATCTCGCTCTCTTATACGAGACTGCATACACTGCACAACAAAATCAATTTGATGATGCAAAAGGTACATACATTTTTTATTCTTCGGTATCTCCGGCAGCCTCCTCCTCCGTCTCTCGCCCCCGGAGTAAGGCGGGAATCTCGACGACTCCGGCACCTCCGGAGGATCCGGAACGTTCCCCGGAATATCACAGTCCGTGTTGTCGTCGCTTTTTGAGGATGTGGGCGACTCCTCGTCCACCAGAACATCGTGCACCAATCTGAAACGAAACGCGGAAATGTAGGTCATGGTTGATGCGGAAAAAACGCGTTTTTATGGAAATAATGGTAACGGAACGGTGGACTTTACTTACGAGTAGAATGGTGCTGAATTGGTGGTGTGCGATGGTAGTTTTTCGAAGCTGGTTCTGAACTCCTCGAACTCCGTGTCCGCCATGTTTGTTTTGCGGGTCTTACTGCTATTGATTGGGCGGGTGGGGGACGTCGGAGGCGGCCGTGGCGGTGTACTACACCGGGTGCAGCGCCGTCGCGACGCGTCGCTGCAGGGTGACTCGCTTACCACCTGCAATCATAGAGGGCGGTGTGAGTGGAGTTGCATGCTTGCAGCTTCTTTATCAATTATTCCGTTAAAGTTTTTCGATCTTTAAAAAAATATTTTTAATTATAACTTTTTTTTATAAAATTAAAGTTTTCAAAATACTTGTGTATATGTATATAAAAAGATTAAAAACAAATAAAAAATCATCTGTCAACCCTGCTTAACCAGGCTGTGTTAAAAGATGTAATATTTCTATAAAACAGTAATTTTTTTAAACTGAAAAAGTTATAAAATATATACAGGGTGTTATGTAATAAATGTTATTTATATATTAAAATGGGTTGTTCCTTAGGGTCCATAAAGAAGCACCTGAAATTTTTTTTTCTAAATTCCAAAGTCTAAAAATAATTTATAATAACCTTTATCCTACCAAAAAGTACGCCACTGATCGACTAGGAACTTTAGGCTAATCTGGTTGCTTAATTTAATTTATTATGTTATGGTTGGTAACAACAGTGGTTCCAAAATCTGTCAAAAAAGTTGACAAACTTGTATTTTGTGTGACAAACATTGTTTAAATTTAGCTTAATTACAAAAATGACAAAATTAACAATGCAAATTGTCAATTTGGCGTTTTTATTAATTGTTGGTTATGTCATTTTTGCACTGAAGGTAAATTCAAACAAAATCTAACAACTTTTATGACAGAATCTAGTGCATTTCTTTCAAATTTTAGGTTATGTGCTCAAATTGTAAATATCTTAACTAAGGGAAGTGCTTTTGGATTTATTTACACAAATTAAATGTTTAAAGTTTAACCTGTGAACTGGTCCCAATTTCATCTGAGTAAACAGAAAGAAAAAAACTGATGAAAAAATTAATTTTGTGGTTATGGATTTTTTAAAATAGGTAGGTACTAAATGTTTAATCATTGCTTAAGCTAATAGCTGGATGAGTAAATAAATTCAGAAGGGTATTAGAGCTTTAAGGGCATAAAACTTTTGAATTTAATGAGTTTTTATTTATTTTTTGCAAGAAAAATTGTTAGTAACAATTTTTTACATCTGGCAACGCGTAAATACTTTGTTGGTTGGTATCTATGTACTCACAGAACACAAGTGTGCAGAGATAAACCAAGTGTAACCAGTGGCGTATCACAAAAAATATAAAAAACTTCTTTGAAAAAATATTTTTTTTAAATATTTTTCCTTTACTCCTTATGTACAAAGATATTCAGTATTTTAATATATAATATTAATAACATAACACCCTGTATAAAATAAATGTATTTTGTAAAAAAGTTATTAGTATTTTTTACAAAAATTTGGTTTTTAAACTAATTTTTGTAAAGTAGTATAAATTTTTTTCGAAAAATAAATATATTTAGTAATTTTTCTTCTATTTAAATATGTTATAAACAGAGCTGGGCACGAGTACTAAAAAAAGTATTCGTAAAATTTTAGGTACTAGTACTTAAAATATTTACTCTTAAGTACATTTGTAAAGAGAGGTTATGGTTACGAGTAGTAATCGTGAAAACACGAGTAAAGAGTACGAGTACTTTTGAAAAAAAAAGTTAGTTAATATAATTGTTTATTCTTTACTCTCTAAAAATGGGTTAGTCAAAAATGACTAATTGTCATAGCGAAAAAGCAGCCACTAATAATTCTTGTCAATAGCAATTTGTATTTTTAACATTTAGCAGTCAATTCCCATGTAAAATTGTTCCCTGAATCCGAAAATGTCGTCAAAAGTAGAACAGTTTTTGAGATATAGTCCATTTTCCAAAATTTTCAAAAATGTCATAGCGAAAAAGCAGCCACTAATAATTCTCGTCGACAGCAATGTGTATCCAGGACATTTAGCAGTCAATTCCTATTAAATATTATTCGCTGAATCCAAAAAGGCCGTCAAAAGTTATAAAAGTAGAACAGTTTTTGAAATATAATCAATTTTACATATAATATGGAATTGACTATATCTCAAAAACTGCTCACTTTCATAATTTTTGACGGTATTTTTACCAGTTTCCACTAATAACTATGGTAATTAGTCATTTTTGACTAATTCATTTTTAGAGAGTGTACAATGTACACTGTACATTATACATACTTTGGTCCTGACCTATAAAAATACAAATATAAATTTATAAAATTATTTATTTTAAACATTATGTACATAAAATAATATCAATTCTTAAATAGTAATAAATAGTAATTTTATCTATTTACTTGTTATAAAACCTATAGGCTATAATATATTATATTGTACTATATATTATATAATTTAAAACAGACTTCCAAACAAAATGTTTTGATGCTTACGATATTTTGGCAAAAAGTCATCCATATAATAAACGAAAATACTCGTATATACTATATACTATATATATATTACTCGGGAATTCCACGAGTATTATTTACGAGTACATTGAATTTGGTTTGTGTTGTGTATTCTAAAATGTCCTAAAGGGTGTCCCATTAAGACCGCCTAATTTAAAATAAAAAAAAAATGCCGTGTTTATTTAAAAAGTTAAGATATTTTTATTGCAATAAAGAGGGAAGACATGGAGGTTAAATATGGAACAAAATATCCGATAAATGGCCGCCTCGTGACTGACGGCACATGTTGATTCTTTTGACAAAATTTTCGATTACATTTTGGCATAGTGCCGGCTCAATTTCATCAATGACCCATCGAATCTCATGTTTTAGTTTAGGAACTGTTCTTGGGTTATTAGCATAAACCTTTTCCTTCAAAAAACCCCAAAGAAAGAAATCTAACGGCGTCAAATCGCATGGTCGGCCTGGCCACATCACATCCTCGCGGCGCGAGATAACTCTGCCTTCAAATTTTGTCCTCAAGAATTCCATGGTTTCGTTGCTGTGCATGGTCTGCTGTCTTTAAATATTGTGTCAACCGAATCTTGTACGCATGAAAATGCATGTCTTTGGCGAAAATTCGCTGTAAACTGCTTAGAGAGAGTCTCAATTGATGGGAACGGTGACGAATCGAGGTGGAAGAATTATGTTCAACACTTTCACTAACTGCTGCAATATTTTCAGCAGACTGAGCTGCACGAACATGGATATGTCTCTTTTTGGTTTAAATTGACCCAATCGTTTCAAATTGCTCGATTATAATCCGACCACAGTACGGCGAGAAGGTGCGTTATGGTGACCAAAAAATCCACGATATCTTCAAACCGTTTCCGAAAAATTCTCACCATTTCGATAGTGGATTTTTACAATTTCTATGCGTTGTGCGTCTGTGTAAATCTCCATGACTTAACCTCAATGTTCATACATGACCACTGTCCAACAACAACGTTGTACGATTGACACAAAAAAAATGACACTAAATTTAAAATAGGCGGTCTTAATGGGACACCCTTTATAACTGCCTAAGAACTGTCAAAAATATAAAAAAACTGCACAAAATATATTTTATATATTTTTTTATATAAATATTATTATATATTAGTGATTTGACTAATAAGACGTTTTTTAAGGAAAATTAAATGTTTGTTTGTCCTTTACATTTTTTCAAAGAAACCAGTCACTTTTGAAATATCTTTAAAAATATTAGAATTTTTCACTAAAGGTGCAGATTACAGCTATGGCACATAAAGCATTTTTGTAGAACTTTTGAAACAATCCAATATCATAAAATGCGGCTGAGATATAGATATTAAAAAAAAATCAAAGTTTACTTGTATTTTAAATGGGAAATCTTTATACGCTTTGGTAGAGTACTTTGAGTTAATATTAAGGGCTCAAATTTTCAGGGAATTTTTTTTTGAACATTTTCAACAAGATTTTGAGTTGGGAGCGAAAAATAAAAATAGTCGTAAAAAAAGCACCCTAATATACAAGGTCTCCCTAAACTTAGTGGCATAAATTTAGGAGCGGATTAAGCAAGTCAAAATAAGACGAAAATCTAAATAAATATTTTTCCTAATTACCTATGTTTAAAAGTTACAGGGTGATAAAGTGTTACTTATCATATCAGTTTTTTTAATATAACTTCTACTATGATAGACTTGGAAAGGTGATATTTTGCGAACAGTCACTTACTACCAAAACACATATTCACACATAATTACAATTGTTTGATTGAACACAGTGTCGTAGAAACGGGGGTTGCTTTAAGCTTATTGTCCCATACAAACTTTGAGGTTAGGTTTTTGTAACATTTGATGCAATTTATCGATTGAACAGTTCGGCTACCATTAAAAAGGTGTACCTCTCAAACTTCGATAAAATAAACCGTTTCCGAGATATTTGAGATTAAAGTAATTGTTATATCGCATTATTTAAAAGGATAACAAATTTTATTTTTTAATTGAAAAAACTAAAAAGGGCATTCCATGAGCCTCGGGACTTTTTGCCCTGACCGTCACATTAAAAAAAATGTAGTTTTTTCAATTAATTTTTTTTTATCATATACCTTTTAGTCCTTTAATGTGATATAACAATTATTGTAATCTCGAATATCTCGGAAACGGTTAATTTTATCGAAGTTCGAGAGGTACACCTTTTTAATAGTAGCCGAACTGAGTAATCAAAAAATTGCATCAAATGGTATAAAAACCTAACCTCAAAGTTTGTATGGGACAATAAGCTTAAGCAACCCCTGTTTCTACGACACTGTGTTCACTCAAAGAATTGTAATTATGTGTAAATATGTGTTTTGTTAGTAAGTGACTGTTCGCAAAATATCACCTTTCCAAGTCTACCATAGTAGAAGTTATATTAAAAAAACTGATATGATAAGTAACACTTTATCACCCTGTATCTTTTAAACATACGTAATTAGGAAAAATATTTATTTAGATTTTTCTCTTATTTTGACTTGCTTAATCTGCTCCTAAATTTATGCCACTAAGTTTAGGGACACCTTGTATAAAAATAATAATAATAATAATATATATCTTTATTGTAAATAAATAACATTACATTACATACAAAAGG